GGGATCGGTTAATCTCCTCGGCTGGTTTTAACAGTGCCCCGAACCAATACATTACCAGGTGCATGTGTAGGTGGTCGAGCATCGAAGTTCACGAGGATCGGACGCACCAGGGCCCACAGATCGTATCGGCTCGAGCGAGTTTACGTAGAAATCCGCGTTCTGCCGGGACCGGAGCCAGTCCTGGACCAGGCCCCGTCCTGGTATCGCACTGCGAATCGTCTTCTGGACCTCGAGCGCATACATTACAGGACCCAGGAGCGGCCTCGTCAGAATCTTTGGTATCTGGTGTAGCCGGTCCCGACTTTCGGCCGCTATTGGTAGTTAGGATCGCCTCCGCTACCGATGGGAGTCTTTGTTATTGGATTTTGATTCCGGGGCTGAAATTCTGGTATTGCCACTCCTGGGAGTCTGTGACTTGAAACGTGTCCCGTGGAGCTGGGATTTTCATTCTAGGGCTGAAATCCTGATTTTGCCCCTCCTTGGAACCTCTGCTTGGAAAAGAGTCCCATCAATCTGAAACTCCGATGTTCGTTCCAGGGTCGAGCTTTCGATATCGACGTCGCTTGGTACCTCGGCGACAGGAACAGTCCCCTGGATCTGGGACCTGAAATTTCATCCTAGGGTTGAAATTCTGCTCCCAGCCCTTCCTGGAACCTCCGGTGGACTCCGAAAGAGTCCCATCTATCTGAAACTCCGATTTTCATTCCTGAGCCGAGCTTCCGACATCGGGGCAAGGAGGAACCTCAGGGACGGAAAGAGTTCCGTGGAACAGGGGCGGGCTGGGACCTCGTCTCCGCGACGAGACTCCGAAACGTCTGGGACGTCGCTTACTCGAATCTCCTGACGTTTATGGGCCCATAGGCGGTCGGTTGAACCGAGCTGATCGGTTCATAAAGCATCCGGCCGCGATTCCCTGTAGCCACAAATCAACTCAACTGGATCGCGGAGCAGCGTTTCAGCGGTCTGCGGTGCCTATACCGCCGCAACATCCGTACCATCGGTCCATCGGACGGATGGACGACCCTAACCTGGACGTATATACCTGTATGCTCGCCGGAGACGCTCCTCTACACGCCGGGAGGACGAACCGGCGTGATACACGCAACGACGGCCCTAAATCACCGGAGGGCCGAAGGCGAGCAGGCCTCGAAGGATCGCGAGGGAGAGGAAGAGGTTCACCTCGCAGATTTATAAGGAAAAGGAAGAACGACCCGATTCGGGGATTCCTGGGCCGATCTCGAGGGCGCCCGGCGTCGCGGTGCGCGATCGATCGGCCAGTTCTGCCAAGGGAGAAATAGTTAGGGCTTATCGCCCCTGCCATTTTGCCCCTGTAAATTATTGCCTATTCTTCCCGTACTTTACTTTTTATCGAGGATTTAAATACCCACGGGGCTGGTAACGTATGCGAGGCATTCCCCTGGCCAAATGCGATTCAATTACGCAGCCTGTATACCTAAGGGTTACACATTCTTTTTTTTTCAGGGCGGCGGCATTCTCTTTGACACCTTGCATCGTTACCGATTCCTCATCCATCGAATTTGAGAATCCAAGATTTAGCCGAAAGCGTGAAAACTTTCGGCAGCGGAAGTGACCGGACGCGGCCGAAATGAAAGTTCGAGAATGCGGGGGTTCCGGTGCGAGCAGCCATTCCGCGTCTCCGCAGGGTTGTCTACGGTCCCGGCAGGCGTCAGGCCGGATGCCGCGGCGCGCCCGAGTGTTCTTTATCACCGGCGCGGAATGCTTGATAACGTTTGATTTGTTTCAATCGTAAATATCGCCGGGGGTGTAATACCGCGAGGCCCGGCCCGTACGTGCCGCCGCGTCAGGGCGGAACGGCCGCAACAATGCGGTCTTCATCGTCTCCATCGACTCGCGACGAGCGGCGTCGCGGCGGCCTTAAGTCGCGTTCGCATTCCGTTCCGGGAGACACCGAATGTTTAATTCAAGATGCGCCCTAAGGTGCGTGCGCCTTGGCGGAACGGGCCCGCTAAGGGTAGCGATTGATGGGACAGGGAAGCGCGTTTGTTGGGCTAATTACTGTAAGGCGAGGCGCTTACGCGCGCCGCTACATACAAACGGCATTACGGAGGCGGCTATCAATCGCCAGAGGCCGAGGGAAGGCCCGAGACCCGGTATCCCTTATTCGCGACGCCTCTCCGCGATGCGGCCCGCTCCTCCCATTAATTGCCGCGGGTCCGATGCGGCCCTCTTGTTAAGGGGAGCCCGTTGACGCTCTTTGCCGAGGCCGAGCCGTGCGACCTTTTCGTTCTAGGCCTCTCGGTGAGGCCCTTCGCCGAGACCTTATCGTTAAGGAGAGGGTCGCCCTCCCCTGGCCGGTTTCGTATTGGACCTCTCGTTAAGGCCGTCGCATGCCGCGGCGAGATCGTAGCGTTTTCAGCGTTAGATTCATTTCGGAGTAAAGAGGTCGCAAAGGTAAGGCCCACTGGTCATCTCTAATGTTCCCAGGTGTCCAATGAGATTTCGATGTAAGATCAAAGGTAATTAATTTCATTAATTACCGCAGGTTCGATGTAGGTTTTTGCTCAAATTTAAATTTCAACCAGGTACATCCAGTTAGGATGAATCTTTCATAAGCGCGACCCTTCCTGACAGTTTAAGGCTGCAGCGGTCTATAACTCGATTTTTCTCGGACGCACTTATCCATCTCTCGTTGCGTGAAGTATATAAAATAAAGAGGTCGTAAAGGTAAGCTCCACTACTCATCCCTGACGTTGGTGAGGCGTCTAATGGGAGTTCGGTCGGGCCCTGCGGTTCCTGGACCCTTCCGGTGGGCCAGACCAGCTCTCGGGTAGGAGCGAGCCTTCTCGGGGAAGATCGACTATTTGTCCCGGAATTGAATCCTAAGGGCCTCGCCCGACTCCGGGATGCCCGGCATAACCTCCGGCCGACGACATAAATAATCCTGGCCGATAATTAAGACGGTGGGAATAACGCGAGGGCGTGTGCCGCGCCCCGCTGACTCTTCACGGCGTGGCACCCTGGGTCCAGACGCGTACACGCGAACCTCCGTTGCCTCCACCGAGTGATGTATATTGCCTCCTTGAGTTTCGACGAAATCCCGGCCATCCATTCGGCGCGAGTTATATTAATAAGCCTCACGATACGGCGGAATTGCAAGTATGACGAGGAAAGTCGGATTTGGTCTTGGGCTTGCGAAAAGTGTAACATGTCGAGATGTGATCTGCCGATGAGCAAAGTCGGTGTCGGCCTTACAATTTTGGTCTTGATCTTGCAAAAGAGTGGAAAATTTCTAGGTCTGCTAATATCGATCTTTAGTCTTGGTCTTGCAAAAAATGCAAGACCTCGTCTTGATGAACACTCGACCAGGAAAGACCAAGATCAGGACGGCAAGACTAAACCGCCCCGACTCCAGGATGAGAGTTTAACGAGTCAGGATTTGGAGTCGCAGCGTTCGAAAACGGTCCTTCATTTGGTAATGACCAAGCCGAGGGGGAGGGACGGGAACGATCGGGAGTTCTTTCGGAAATGATCTCCCGCAGCTGCGTATTAATGCATAGGTGGTTATCAAGCCGCGCAGTTTATTCGGGGGAGCTGTCGGCCGGGCGGTATTTACGAGACCGCAGCCCCGTCTTTGGGGACAAATTTCCAGGTGTAATTGGGGGAATGAAATCCGCAGAATTTCACAACTCCGGAGGGTCGGCGCTCGAGAGGGTGAGCTCTCCCGGAGGAGGACGCGAGGGTGCGCGGAAGCCCCGTAACGAAGACTCGCGAGGTGGCCGACGAGTCGGGATGAAACGAGGCGTCGGGACGCCTACGCCGACGCCGACTCGACCCCCCTCAGAAACCCCTAGCTCGTTATATCTTCATTAACCGGCACCAGGACTTCTTAGCGCCCTGCGACACACTTCTCCGCCGGTGTCTCCGCGCTGCCGACACCACTTTTTTCATCCCCCTTTTTTTCAACCCCTTCCTGTATCATTTTCAGTTATCCTCCGTACACGGGTAGCATTTTAAATAAAATAATGCAATCGATGGATTATGTCCCTCGGGAATAAAAGTAAAAGGTGGGTAATGCATTTAGTGGATGGGGCGTTCGCCCCTTTTTCGGGGTGTCCGTGGAGAGCGATTTGCAGCCTTTGTCCGGTGGTTAGCGCGTCACCAGGATTCCCGGTCCTTGTCGGGGTGGTTCCCTCTTGGAAACGGAATTCCATGGCGAGCGGGCCCGAAATCGCTGTAAGATCGGGACACATCATTATGGGGCCCAGCAACAGTATAGGGCCCGGAGAGCTACGGGGCCGGCCAGGACGTGGTCGTAAATATTCGGGCGCCAAATAATGCGCCGGACCCGTAGCGACCGACTGCTGCTCGACCCGTAATGAAGGACATCCTCGTTAATTAGTCAATAAATAATCCTTCACACTCGATGGCCAGGACGCAAGGGTGTCCCTGCTCTTTTTTCCCTGCCCTGTCCCTGTCGGGAACTAGTCGTCCCTTGGCGAACCGCATGCTTTACGACACCTATTCCAAAGGCGAACGTCTCCGGAGTGTCCTCGAATCCCGTAAGGATGCATCCGATGGCTCTAGGATCCAATTGTATCCTGCAATCGCGGTAAATCATTGATTTTAATGCTCCAAATCACGTGGAGATTCCAAGCTAAAATCGTTGAAAATAAATCGGAACTCATTATTTTATCATTTAATGGCCACTTTATCACCACTTTATCATTTTATGGCTGAGAATTGTTACGTTTCGGTGACTTTTTTTTTTCATGATTCTCAGTGATTTCTAGCAGTAAAATCCATTTCCTGAGTAAATAAACTTTCGAGTCAAAGGCATTCGGTTATTATTTGATAAGTATATCGTCGTCTGTACAATTCCACGCGAGCGTGCGTCAAGTTAACTACTTCCTGCCTAGAGTCCTTGAAGAGTATATATATCCCAGGACGTCCAACTATCGACTCCAGGATGTGCCCGGGACACACCCGAAACCCCGATAGAAGTCCTGGTCCTTCCACAGCTAGGAGGACCCAGGATCAGCCTCGTCGACGTCGAAGATCCTGGATACGTGTCTGGCGGCATGACCCGGGGTCGGGAACTCCTGGGGATGAGCTTCCAGGAGATGAGCGCGAAGTTCCTTGGCGAAGTTGGTGCAGAACGGAGTCCGTTCCGAGGAGATGCAGCTGCTGCACTCGTAGATGCTCTTCCCAGGATGGAGATTCGTCGAGAGGACGTGCTTCCTGAGGTTCTCCTGCAATACGAATGACCCCCCGTAAAGCGAGGGAGTACTCTTCTATCCCCCCAAATACAAGATAACCTCTGAAACTTCAAAATATATATATAAAAAATAAAATATACCCGCAAAGATCAAAACACAGCCCGGGAAATAATTCGCCCGATAATCCTCGCCTGTGTATCAGCTGCAGGACTGGCTGGCAGGATACCTCGAAAAAAAAAAAAAATGGAGCGAACGTTTTTTCAGGCGGTTTATTGAGGCTGCCCTTAAGTGCCGGAGATGGATGGCCGGTGCCCGGCTCCTTTCGATGGTTTAGCGGGGATAAACTCGAAGACGATGCTCCCTGGGCCGTTAACGAGCCCGTTGCCGGACTGTACCTCCTACGGGCTTACGTTTGCATTGGCTCGCACAGGTACATCCTCGTACCTGGTGCACCGGCCGGACGCGTTCATTGGCCACGGCGGTGCGGTTAAGTGCTCTCGCGCTTTCCCCTCTCGGCTAAGTAGCCGCCCGGAGTCGTAAACATCTTCCTACCAGGGTCCGCAGCATATACGAGCCGTTGATGGCACCAGCAACATCAAATTTAATTTCCCATAAGTAAATCTTTCCATGGGCAGCTCGACCTGCCGTTGGATTAAGGTGCGTTCACATCGGCGCCGCGGGTGGAGTAGCGCGAATGGCGCTCTTTATGGTGGTCCAGCAAAGTTTCCTCGATTTGGCCCAATAATGGTACCGGCTCTTTCGGATGCATCTTCGGACGCGTTGCACCCGTCAGATCCGCCAAATAAATTCGGGGATTTTATTGTTCGTCTCCATCGGGATGCAAGGATGCAACGATGCACCGCAGATGGAGGATACGTCGAGAATGTGGATATCTGCTACCGCGTGGCCGAGAACGTGGCAACGCACCAGCAACCGTGGCCATGTTGCACGTGCACGGATGCACGTGCACCGAGAGCATGGATGAATGGGTGCAATAATATTCCCGGAGGCACCGCGGGAATATGTTAGAGCCCGAGCCAACGAGGTCTTAACCGGCGAGATCGCGAATTATCCCGCGATCACGATACCGGGCCCATTCGTGCCACATCGCCGATATCCGCCCGTTAAAACTATAACGTATCTGTCCGGTTGTACAACTATTACCGCGGTCAATACCGAAGGAGCAATATTTGAAGGCATAAACATTCCGGTACCCCAGAGGTCCCTCAATGTTCGGGTCGTGGTTCGTTTATTTCCTGATTTACGTAAATGGGCGCGGTCGGCTCTCCTCCACCCCTCGAGGCCTCCTCTTCCCGTTTATTATATTAATTTATTCGTTTGCTCGTTTGTTTATTAACGCCGCGGTGGATTCCGCCCGTGGCCCGTTCGATATTGGAAGCCGAAGGAGACGATAAAGCCCGATGCAACGGAGAGGGCGTAAAGGAGGACGGTAAAAAGGAGCCGGTAACCATCCGAGGTAAATCACAACGCTGAACCCGCGGGAAGGAAGCTGGCGCGTGTAATCTCGTTGACGTAGTGCTAGAAGGAAACTCCGCCATTAAACGGGGCCCCGCGTTCGCACGTTCCCGCGTTATTAAAAGCTCCGTGCAAACAGCCACCGTCACCGCGGATACGCCGGCTAGATACGTCCAACGGCTGGCCCGTTTCTTTAAAACGCGGCTCACCCTGGCGACGATTCGCCAGAGGGATCCGAAGTGCCCCATCAACGGGAGCCCTTGCCAAATCTCGAGATAATGGGTTTTAACGACACTTAGGACGAATTAATGGTACGCTTAGAGTTCTGTACAGGGGCTTTCTAGGTTTGGCGCTGATGACGAAGATTTGCGGCTTCCGCCAAAGGGGCTCGTTCAGGACGGGGGAGTCTTTTCGAGAGGCCACGATTTCTGTATTCGTGGAGATCAAGGCACTTGTATGAAGTAACACCATTTTTCTAGAAATTAATGTAACGATTCTTCTGTATTAACCCTCTCTAGATTTTGCGCCTGTAATTCCTGGACCCCTCCAAAGAGTTCCGTCCAGGACCCAGTCTTTTGGCCTGCACTCTTCAGGGCGACTTCCGCCTCCAAGGCGGTCGGTAGCGCCGACTTGAGAGCCACTGAAATGAGTTTATATCGCTATCAAAGAGACACGGGAGAGCTCGAGATGCGGCTCGCATCCCAACTAAACCTTCAAAGGACATTAGCATACCGACCGCCGCGTATGACTGGGCCGTGCGTGTGTGGGCACCCAGTGAGCACAATTAACTGGTTATCTTATCGTGCCGCGGCGCGGCCCAAACATTAAGGTGTACCTTGCTTAATTTACGCCGCGAACTTGGCGCTGAGGAAAAATCAAAGATGGCGGGCTTTTAGAGTGTTGCCGGTGGGCTCGCGTGTGGGCCCCGGCCATTAGCTGCCACGACTCTTCGGGAGAAATCATCCCATGAAAGGCCGCTGCTCTACGAGCGGTCAGTCGAGTCTGAGAAGACTGTCCGAGTTTTAAGGGCGGACGCGAAACGGCCGCGGAAAGTAAAACAAACGTTAAGCGCTGCGTGCGGGATGATCATTGGGTTAACGATGGGACGACACGCGCGAGGAGATCCCCGTTTTACGGCGATCTCGCTCTTGGGTATAATTTCCAAGTTTCGAGGCATTACCAAGTTATTGCTGGCGTAGGAGCAGTGGCGACACCTGTAGGGTTTGTTGCCGGTGTGGCAGCGAAGGTGGCGCCGCAGGTGAGAGCCCAGTTTCGTCCTGAATTCGCAGTTCGGATATGGACAGATCCTCTGAGGAGTGGCTTGCAGGTCCTCAGAGTCCTCGTGCTTCCTTCTATGCCTGCGAATGCGAACAAAATCCATTTCAAACTTAAGTAGAAACGAAGCCCGCCTTAAACCGGTCGATTTATTTAAACCTCATCCCACCGAGGTAACTAAAATTTCAATTCCTTCCCCAAAGGTGCCCAAAGAAAGTCTCGATGCTCTCAAAATCAGGATCTTCTAGACAAGGTTAATTTCTCGAACTTCCCACCTCTTTCGCTAAAACGACCCACGTGCCACCCCACGTGGACGTCGGCGCGCTGTCCCACGTGGTACTCCCTCGGGAGAATCCGTCATTATCCCCGATTAAGTAATCTGGTTTCTCTTTGGAAAATTTTCTTTTCAGTACCATGCGCCTCGTTACCCTGGAATTACCCTATATGGAAAGGACCCATCATCGAGAGGGTCCTTTAGCCGAAGGACTCAGCAGCCCTCCGAGATGTGTGCTAACACTTGATCCGCAGCCAGCTGCATAATGCATCATAACCGCCTCGCAGAAGAGGGCCGAAGTCGTCCGATGCGGAAGTTCCGACCGGGACATAAATCTCGGGGATTCCCTGGACGGTGTCCTGGTAAAAAGGCGTCGGTCCTCTAATTGGCGACGCGTCGCGCGTCGCGTCCGTGGCATTCGCACCAGCGCTCGTGCGACGTCCGCGGTTTATTGCCTGGAGGCATGCACCCGGCTGCACCGAGTGATCATGAGTGATGCTTTATGCGCTCGCACACGGCCACGTCGGCGTGCATGCGCGTGCAGGGCACGCTCGCGCGTGTAATATTATAATCGAGAGGGCCGCGTCGCCGCGTGTATATCAGGTTCGAGGCGCGTGACACGTTTAATTAAAATTCCCCGTGATTTACTCGGCCGAGCACGGTGCGCGTTTTACGCGCCCCGTAAGTACTCAATTCGCAATAAAAAATTGCGCTTAGAACTGCCGGTTCTCGTAAACCGGACCCGTGGTCCAGTTTCTTCCAGGGCTGTCGATTGATCATGGCCCCTGATCGCTCTCCATAATATGGGAAATCCCGAAAATTGCCTAGAAGGCTCACCTAGGATTTCTGGTGCGCCGGGAAAGTAACCGATAGGTTAAATATAGGTTTGTTGGGCAAGTGCCGAGAGGACGGAGTTGACCCTCCTGATGCCGATTTTTAGGCATCGTGTACGTGTTCCAGAGCTGGAGAAAGACGAGCGGGGTATAAAGAGCGGCAGGGAGACAAGTAGTTTTTCGAAATGGAGAAAAAGGCGCATTCCGACACACGCCGTCGTTACACCCGCGCCGGGCTTAGCGTGGGCGTTTTTATTGGTCGACGGATAAAGCGTCGCCGAGCTCGCTGTCGCGCATGCGACAGCTCCGGTGAAAGTGAGACCTGATTTTGATTTACCTGTTGCGGCCAAGCGCGTATTCAAATGACCGCTCTTTCCGAAATGGAGGTGACCATCCCCCGATGGGAATACCTGTCCTCGAATTGAAAGAACAAATGTGACGGAGAAAAGAGGCACTGGGAATTCCTCGATGAAACGCGATCGCACCTATCGCGGTTGCAGACCTGATTTTCATTTTTTTTGCTGCGATCAGGTGAGAATTCAAATGAGCATTTTCTCCCAAAAATTAAGATGGGATGTCAAGTCGAAGGAATAAAAGATGAGGATGAAAAGAGTCACTGGGAATTCGTCGCTGCACCGCGTCCAGGAAACGCGATCGCACCTATGCCCATCGCGGTTGCAGACGCATTATGCACCCGGGCGCGCAATTAATTCCGCACTTCCTCGAAGCCATCGATCATGAGCGAGTGGACGTACGGTTAATGGCGCAGGAATGCAATGTCCCCGTTACGAGGGCCGATAAATTAAGGCTAGAGAGCGATAACGCGAAAAGCTCTGGGAGCAACTGAAACGGAGCTGCGCCGGCATATCGCTCTTTCGAAGGTTTCCTCCGCTCGTCACGAGTCCTTCTAATTGGCTACGAATATCGCCAGGTTGGCCTTCGGGATATCCCGGAGCCCGTAATGGCCATTGGGAGTCTGGAGATAAATTAGCGGAGAGGATAGCGGACGCTCGACCGATCTGGAAGACATTTCTTCAGGGCCCCCGTCCTTCTTCCGGTGTCGCTTTCTCCGCATGGTTCTCTTAAGCCCGTCGAACCTGGCTGCACTTTTTAACACGACCTAATCCTACAGCTACCGGAACGAAGAATACAATCTTAGAGACTGTTCGGAAGAAATTATAGAGTTACTTGATTTTTTATACATTTTTTATCATGCACGTGTAGGACATACCGAAGCTGCATTCGCGTTATCGCGCAAGCTTCTTTTGTTTTTTTTTAATTATGTTTTAATATCGACAGCGGAATTAATTCGCCACGATCCAAAGAGACCGTTTTATCGAATGTCTATTTTTCAATTTCGACGGCGGAATTAATTCGTCACGATCCAAAGAGACCGGGGCGGCATCTTGCAATATGGCGCGGAGGGAGTGAAAAAATAAGACTTGCACGCCTAGTTTCTTTAGCATAAGTTAAATTTATCCCCGCACCGTAGCAACGTCCTCTCAATTTATATAAGCTCTAATCTCCTCTAAAGTAGAGGAGTCCTTGGACCCGTGCGTGCCCCGACACCAATACTTGACAAGTTCAGAGGATTCACGCACAGGAACGTCCCGGGACACGCAGCCGTAAAATATGGATGCCTAGCGTGCTGGGTTGTCGCGATATGTTTGATGCCATAACTTAATGGGGCCCCATCCTTATTTGGATGTTGCTTTCTCCTACGAGCTACGCCTATGTTGCAATTATGCAGCAATACGAGAACGCAGAGGCAGGTCGAATACCTCCTGAGCTGTGTGCTCGTCTTCGCTGCGTAGGGACAGGAGGCACACCGATACTTCCGGCCGGTGGTCGCGGTCTCGTGCACCAGGAGTCGATGAGACCTCAGCTCCGAGGCGGTCCTGAGGACGGTGGGGCATCCCGGAAGTCCACATTTGTACTTTTTTCCGGCATGGCGCAGCATGTGCTGACGAAGTGCGTGCCTGAAACAGTGCCTTTGTATTTGTACTTGTATCTCACGCACGACTTAGCCCACCTTATTAAAAGGAAATATCGAGATTTTATAAAATTTTCCTTGGATGTTTTACTCAGACGTGGTACGCTAATTTTATAACATTTCCATACCATGATACTTACCCCACGTTATCATAAGTACCTTAAGGAAAAATCATTTAGAGAAGACCTCCTTGCGGCAATTCTCCAAGAGGCCTCGCATGTACGTCTGTAGGTACTTTTATATGGTTCCTATTCCTTATTGTCACATTGGCGGTGATCGATCTTGTATCAGAAATTCGGGGTACCGACACGGCTCGAGCCTCGACTAACGTTCTCTAATGATAATTCCGACTAACGAGCACTGGAAGATCGGGCCGATAGAGATGCACGAAACAATGGCGGGGAAAGATCGAAAGCCAAGATGGCCGCCGTCGAAAGTACAATCGGACCCCGGGTCCGCGCAAACCTCCTCGGAGTCTGCGAGTCCCGATGTGGAACGATCTCTCGGGGTGTAGGGATTTCTCCGTTTCCTTTTTTCGGCCCTGCCTTTTCCTTTTCTTTCCCCCCTACGAAGGAGGTCCGATGAGATCGCTCCTCGTCCCATTCGGCTGGAATGTCACGGGCGTGACGGTGGGCCGTTAAATGGCCGCGATTGCGAGAGTGCCGCGCTCGCTGACGGGGCATAGATGTTGATTTAGGAACCCCGAGACGAGGACGAGCCTCGCCGGGCTGAAATACGGCCGCCATTTACAAGTCTAATCCCGGGCCGCGGTTTTTAATTATTAGATTCGTCAGTGTAACGACGACTGGCATTTCTGGAAACCCGTTCTTGGTCGCGATTCGCTGTTTCCGGGAGACTTGGGTCACCTCCTGGGCGAGCTTTGCTCAGAAAATGACGTAAAGAGTGCTTAATTACTTTTGCTGATTTTTTATGACTAACTTTTGATGATTAAACGATGTTGGAATTTTTAGAAACCCATTCCCGGTCGCGATTCGCTCTACCTCCACATCCTGGCATCCAGGTCATATCCTGGAAGACCTTCCTCGTTCGAAAAATGAAATACACCCTATTCTTATCCAGGTACACGTTTAATCGGCATACAATTGGAATACCTATCCATCCTTTTCAATTTTTAAACTCGTCCGTGGAACCACGTTATCATTTTTGGAAACCACTCCTGACATCGAGGAGTTCGGTTTCCGGGAGCTCCAGGATGGGGTCACGTCTTGGAATACCTTCTCCGTTGTCCATAAAACACCGTATAGCATGCCTACCCAGGTGTACGTTTAATCGTCGGAGAATTGGAATACCTGTCCGCACTTTTTCACCTGCCCAAACCTACGGTCAGGAGGTCCCCCTTCGCCCCGGGTCCGCTAGGTAACCTCGTCGCCTCAATCACCTCGACCGGTCAATAAATATAAATCTCCACATCGGGCCGCCGCTAATCAAAGAAAAGGGGGAAAAAAAAAAGTGAAAGAAAAAACTCGTAAATCTGGAGTGACAATTCGTGTAATTAAAATCAAGTAGCTAAGTATAGGACTGGCCGGTAAGGTAGGCTAAAATAACATCGAAGCCCGTCCCTGAGGTTGGAGGAATGGCGGCGAGTCGTACGTGTTCGTCGTACGTAGGTATACCGGGCCGACCTTAGAGGTGGGAGCGATGGGAAGCGAACGCGCGCAGGGGCATTAATTAAAAAGGTTGCGCATTAAAATGATTTGTTTTAATTGGTTGAGCGCGCTGAGGTATTTATGGCCGGGCACGGCTCTGTCCGATCCAGTCCGGGTGGTTTACGGCGACTTCGAGACTTCGGCCCGACTCGCTCTCGATTATCTCCCACTTCGGAGGAAGATCCCCGTGGATGGGTCCGACGATCGATCCGTCCGAATCGATTCGATCGAACCCATGGTCCAGGGAAACCATCACCGATGGCGAGGCTCGTTCCCTCGCGAAATCCCGCGATCGATGCTGGAGATCGCCAGGAGGATGCACGTCTTGATATCGTTTCAAATTACAGACTTGATAAGAATGATTTGTTCATAATATGAAATTAATCGTAATTTCTCAAAGGACATTACAGGCAGTTTTACGTAGCAAAGGGTTATTCCCCCAGGATATCATGCGTTCTAACGCCGGAAATCCCGTGGAAACTAGGTATAAGTCATCAGGAGGGTCTCTGTATAATGTAGCACGTGGAAATTGTCGAAAGCCAGGGACATTGATAAGACTCATTAAGAGTGATTTAGAATCAATGGGAGATCACTTGCTAACTGACATTTGAAGGTGTCAACCTCTTAGGGGAAAGTCGATCGGATGAACTCGAGGATCGGATGCCTGGTGGTCAGGTCAAGGTCTCCCATGGGAGGAGGGGGTGTCACCGGGTGGCGCAATTAACGATGCGAGGCCCCTGCGATTATTTATCACGCTTCGAGGATGACGAGGGCCGGGTCCGGCCCGAAGGCAGAGAACGGGCCCGAATGGTAATTCTCGGATATCGTCGGATGTGGCATAACGCGCCCCGGTGGGTGGAATCGACGATTCGAGACGAGGTGGGATCGTGATGGCGGTGATGGCGGTGCTGGTAGTGATGGTGGTACGATGCCGAAGAGGCCGGACCAAACTGAGCCGAAGGTGATGCATGGCCGACGTTCCTCGGCCGCTCGGCCGGCACGAGAAATAAAGAATAAGAAGAATATCCGCCCGGCCGGGCTCAGCCGGCCCCCTGGAGCAACCGCTGTCATAACTCAATCCCACCTCCGTCCGAACGTCCGTCCACTCGTGCGTTCCTAAAGTACGTCCGTCCTCGCGCGCTGCACCTGCAGCTCCTCCCCGGCTCCGCGTGCTGCACGACCGATGGAAACTCTAGCCGGTCGTTCCCGCCCATATGGGCTTAGCTATTCCTCGCGCATTGTCCAGGCTTAAGGGGATGTGAAAGTGGCATCCGAAAGCTCAATCGTTCATAAAGCTTTTCTACAAACTGGGTGTCTCAAATCGTTTGATACCCTAAAACGCGAATACGGAGACCCTAAGGTAGGTCCTAAAACTCGAAATTTAATTTTTTATAAACGAGGGGTGCTCACTAATCAAGGTGTTAAGGGGATGTGAAAGTGGCATCCGAAAGCTCAATCGTTCATAAAGCTTTTCTACAAACTGGATGTCTCAAATCGTTTCATACTTTAAAACGTGAAGACCCTAAGGTAGGTCCTGAAGCTCGCGAAATTTCATTTTTAATAAACTATTTTTAAAATGCCTATAAAGAAATTTGAAAAGAATTGAAATTTCATGAGTTTCAGGACCTTCCTTACAGTCTCCCTAATCACGATGTAAGGTTTCAGACTATCCGGTGAATCGAGGTGGGAGAAAAGTTTTATAAACAAAACCTCTTCGCCGCCACTTTCACGTCACCTTAAGATTTGGGGTAATCAGGTGCGAGGAGCGAGGAGAAAATTGTCCCCTTCGAGTTAACTCGGTTTCGTAACGCCTTAAGGCCCCCAGGAGTTCGTTCCCGGGGCGCGATCGAAGCCTCGGCCGTGCCTCCTGGTCGGGCTCGTCCCTTCCGGAGATGCGATCTGCAGCGGAAGCGGAGGACGCTGCACCGATTCCGGGCGTCCCGGGACCGGGCGTCCTTTCCTCCCTCCCCGTTCGAGTACTTCCCGTATCCGGACACGTAGGCTCGTAGAGCGCGAGTCTCGTTGTTTGTCCAGGTCGGTGCACGCTCAGCTTCCACCGCTATGTCCATGGGGCAGCCTCTTTCGGGCGCCGTTCTCACGGAGCTCGTTTCATTAGCGTGATACGTGACTATGTCGGAATAAGTTCGAATTAACGGAGCCCAATCAAAGGTGGCTCGCGAGCGTTTCCGCGCGAGCAAACAGCTGGAACTCCCTGGTAATCAGGGAGGGCTCGATGTCGCTCCGAGCCTCGTGGACACGGTCTTCCCTGGAGTGGAGTCCAGAGTGCCGCGTCAGGAAGATTAGGGGGTTAACCGGGGAGAGGGTTAGCAATTTTTGGCTCGGATCGGACCAAACAAAATCCAGGTGTGCCCTTAATGAGTGCAATCTACGCGCGAGCAGGCAAAATCGGTCTTGATCTCGCAGGGTTGATCGTGTGTCTGCAGAACCAGGGCTAGAAGGCCCGGACTAAGGTAATCCGCCAGTCAGCGTTTAACCCTTATAAACCATCAAGGGGGCGTGAAAGTGTTCTCAAGAGTTAATCGTTCATGAAACTTTTCACCCGAATCGATTGAAACTTTACAACGTCAATATGGAGTTTTGGCGTCGCTCCTGGAGATGGTCCTTAGGCACCATGTTTTGGGTAGGTTCACGCCGAAAAAAGTATGCGAGGGTGGAACGACTTCGGTAATTAGCGTTAACCTAATCAAATCCGAAGGGGAAAGAAGGTGATTTTTCCGCGCCTCCTAGACACCGCGGATGAAATAGGCTCGGATTAATGGAGCCCAATCAAAGGTTAGGTTTCCACGCGAGCGAACGGGTAGAATTCCCTCGGTCCAAGAGGGAGGGGTTGACGTCGGTCCTTTCCGTCCGCCGCCCCCGGACGGGGGGGGCCGACGATGCCGCGTCAGGAAGATTAGGGGAGGGTTCCAGGGGGAGGGAAACGGCCGGGAGGCGGTTAACGCTTCGCAGGCGAGGCTCAGAATAAACAACAATATTATAACGCGAGCTTAATTGCGCCGGAGGGCTCGGTAACGGGCCCATAAATCGGGGGCGGACCTAGCCGAGCTGAACTACCCCCGCCGCGCGGCGCTACCCCCCAAGATTCATTTACAATAAACATGTCGCCTGCTAATTTCAAGGTGGGATAAAAAGGGGCCGTCTTCGAGAACTTTACCCCGAGCGACCCGCGCAAGAAACTCCGCCACCCCGGCGAGCGAGAGAGAACGAGGTTTTACTCGCTACCCGGAACGGATCAACTTTTCGAGGTTATAAACACCGTCCCCCTAAAACGAGCGTTGGCGCACGAGAGATGACCGCGACTTTGATCATCGTTTTTAATACCACCTCCTCGAGATGACCACGACTCGGATCTTCGTTATTAAGGGGATATGAAAGTGCCATCCGACAGGTGGAAGTTTCATGACATTATTTTACAAACTGGGAAATTTTACAACATACAATACATAGGCTATAAGGAATTTCCCGAGACTCAGGAAATTGCATTTTTTCATCAAACATTTTAAAAATACCTATAAACGAGAAGTCTTTGATGCCACTTTCGCATCACCTTAAGGACCTTCGGTAGCCAAAGGGTTAACTTCATCCGCAATTGCTCCAAATCCATCCGCTGTACCAAAGGAGTCCTTCCGGGAGGATTCCCGTCCGAATTTCGTGGACAGTCTGTCGTAACTCGCGATCCCGTCCGGGTCGGTCGGAAAAAGGAGCGGCGGCGGAAAAATTCCGAAAAGTCGTCGCCGCGTTGCGGTTTGGCGTCGCTTCAGGCTCGCAAGGTTGGCGAGGCAGCAGGGGCAGGTGGAGTAGGGGGGAGAGAGAGTGAGACACGGAATGGGAGGGGGCGACAGAGAGACGCAGAGAGCGGAGACTTGTCGCGAGGCGGGAGGGCGGAAAGAAGGGAGGCAGAAGATAGTCGAGCAGGGGGGTAGGGGGACGACGGGGGGCAGGGGCCCTGGTCGGGAGCATGGGGGGTGGCCAGGATGGTCAGCGGTCGGGCTATATCTACGCGTCCTCGACCGCAGGCCTGTTTTATTTTATGAATCGCAATATTTCACGCGACAACTGGACTCGCGGGGCGGCCACCACTAAACTGCATACGGGGCCGTGCTTACCGCGTGCCACACCACGCCGAACCGTAGCAACCCATAGCGGAGCACACCACACAACGCCGCGGGACTTTACGCCGGACTCTTGATGGAGAGGCGCCGCGGGTGGGAGAAGGAGAGAGCGATAGGGGCGCCCGCAAGGGTGAGAGAGAAGAAGATACCTCACGGCGGGCCCAGAGGCCGAGATGTGTGCGACACGTGGGACCCCGATGGAGGGGACCCTGCATTGTTCCCCGAACGGGGCCCAGATCGCCATGGCGGCTGCTGGGAAACCTGGGAGCTCCGACTCAGCCTTGGACGGGAATAGCTTACTTTCCTAATACCTCGAATCCCTGGTGCGATCAAAGATGGATTCCTGAATTACGCCGGAGAACCCTGGGACCGAGTTCCCCGTCTTCTCGCTCGGCATGCCCATCTACGTGCGCTCCGAGGTCGACACCGACGGAGGCGGACTTGGAGCGCCATTACTGTAGCGGGAGATAAAAGATACGCGCGCGGCACGCCGCGGTCCATATATGTAAATACCCCGGGAACGCACCTACCGGGCGGAGAGGTGGACGCGCCCGCCCCGGACGTGGGGTAAACCGTACGTATAAACGCATGGTGGAATACCATCTCGAGGTGTGCACTCGTCGGGGGTATTCCTGGAATGGAGAGGGGGTAGTCGGGGGTCCGGAGCTGGACAGAGGGTCTTGGATCCCGTCTAATCCCGGGGGGTGGGTAGGGAAGGAACCTCCCAGGGAGTTGGACTCTGGGCGGGATTAAGAAATCCGCGATTTGGAGCTGGAGGACCCGAGCTCCGGAATCCGTCTCGGGAAATAAACCACCCCAACGTGTCCTTACATCCGGTATAATCTTGGAATCGAGGGATGATAAGCGGTCCAGGACTGGACAGAGAGTCTTGGGTCCCATCCAACCCCTCCAGGTGATCGGACATAAAGTCCTCCCGGCAGGACGCCGGACCTCGCGCAGGACCAAGTCGGCGATCCGGGTCCCGGAGAACCCAGGGTGAACTGCAACCCCCAGCATCCGATAACCTGGGCGAGTCTCGCGAGACAAACCACCCCGACGCGTGTTTCACCCCGGGAAGGTTAACGCGTTCCAGAGCGGGGCCTAATCCCACGGAACGACTGGGAGCGGGACATTAAGCTCCCCTCGTTCCGGGTCTCCTCTTCGGCGTGAGAATAGGTCGACGTTGAATAGGCGCTGTTACCACGGGTAACGCGGTCCAAAGAGGAGGACGACAAGGTGGCCCCGAGTGGGAGGGAGCGCGAGGGAGCGAGACGGAGACGCCGCGCCAGAGAAGGAGAGCAAAGGTGTTAACATTTGCTTTATAGCGGTCGCTACAACCGGCCATGCTTTAATACTTACCGCTCGCGCTATGCGGAGCGCACTATGCAGAGGGCCGGCGGGCAGCGTGCATACGTTAGTATTAGAGCCCCGGTACACTCTCCGCACGTGGGCCATAATACAGGCCCGTTAAATACTAGAATGACCCGCGGGGCTTACAAGCCGCTATGAGATGTTAATACGAGCTGCTGGCAGCGCGCGTGCGCTCTTTGCGTCTCTTCCGATCCTTCCTCGGCTCTCTCGCTCTCTCTCTCCCCTGCCCTACCCCTCCATCGGCGCCTCTTTCTCCCTCGCTCCGCCGTGGCCGCAGCCTCCCTTCTACTCGCACGGCGCCCCGCTCGTCCGCCAGCGGATACGGTCCTTTATTTTATAGTTATGCAGCGAGGACACTTTTACTACTACGCCCGCTTCGCGGCCAGTTCCCTGCGAGCCGTTTATTGTCTTGTATTTTTCCCGAAATGCTCGTTCGCTTATTTATACGCTCTTCGGGGTGTTACGGCCTAGGCGCCGCGCCGCGGGAGGCCGTCGCGGCTTCCGGTTCTCCTGGACGGCCCACCGCCCCCAGGGACCGGATCCCTGGTGCCGGACTCACCTGGAGAACCAGCTGTTCACTGGGTGAGCAGGTTCAGGTGGAAGGTCGCACCCGGCCGGCTCTACCTCCACTTTTCTGCCCGGGCCGATTTTAATCCTCCCGATGGCGATACGCCCCCGAACTATACAAGGTGATTGGACCACCGAAACGGACTTTCCTGTCGTGGCAATTGCGTTTCCTGCCAGGAAATCTCCTGGTGGGAAGTCTTAGACCGGTATTTCATTAACGATATAGCGACCTGCGACGAAGCGCGAATAAGAGGTTCCGATCAGCCGCAGAGAAACGGCGGGGTGGGAGAACTTCATTTGGGTGTTTCGCGGTTCCTCTCGCGCACGAGCGAGAAATTATGAATTTTTTCTGCGACTTTTAATGCTCATCGGTACAGGTGTATTTCGTTCAAGCGAGGGAAATTAAAGCGAGTCGCTAAAGCGCTGATGAAAATCCGGCCTTATGGCGAGCAGGCGAATAAAGTGTGACGGCGTTTCTATGTGTGGCTTGGTAAGAACGAATAGCGAATTGTTGGTGTACTTACTTTGTGTAGAAGGCGTGATTGCACTCCGAGCAGACGTAATCCCGACGCCGGAACGCTTCCTGGGACGATCCTGGAGGGATCCCCACGCAGTCCTTCTCGTGAGCGTTTAGACCGGACCTTCGAGAAAAGGAGGCGTAGCACTTGCTGCAGGGAAAAGGACGCTCGCCCGTGTGGCTCCTGATGTGGTTGCGTAAAGACACTTTGGGGAACTCCTTCTCGCAGAGTGGGCACCGGTACTTCTTCGAGATCTTGTCGCTCGACTCATCCTTGCCGACCTCCACGTAACCGGTGTGCAAGGCCTCGTGGAAGATCAGCTCCGAGTGGGAGTTGGTCGCAAAGGGGCACGTGGTGCATCTCCACGTATCCTCCAGGCCACTGGAAAGGTCCTGGGGAAGGTGGTCCTTTTCTGCGCACTCGTTTTCCTTCGTGTGTCTTGTGACATCCTGGGACAGCGCGAAGAGGAGTCCGCAACGTGGACACCTGAAATTTGTTCCACGACGTGAGACGATTTCAAGCTAATTAATTGGGAATTCCAATAAGTCTGTCCATGAAGTCAAGACAAATATTAATATATAAAAACGTGAAGATCAATGACTGCCACACATGACTTATACCCTATGCGCCACTCTTTATGCAACTTCGCGTGTCAATCGTAGTACTAACCTGTGGCAAAGTTCAGTGTGGGTCTGAAGTAGGTGTTCCTTGTAGGAAGCCAAATCCGAATGTTTCTCTCCACAGTGTGGACACTCCCGGAACTGTAACGACCCTTTCTGGAACTTCCTAGACCTGATTTCTTTGTGTCGCGATGTGCGACGATGAAGCACGGCATCTCGGGCCGTGGAGAAATTCAGGGAACAGAACGAGCAGAAGTAGGGAGCCGGTGGGTCTGTTTCGTTGACATTTCTTTCGTGGTCGGGGCTAATATGGCAAGCTAGTTGATGACGCTGGAGAGATACCAGGGAGCGAACCACTTGGCCACACAAGGGACAGGCGATCCTCTGCTGATACTCGTCCGACCCCGTTACGCTTTCGTGTCCGGTTTCTTTGGTGTGCAAGTAGAGCTGGAGGTTGTACCGGAAACGGCGACCGCAAGTTTGGCAAACCAAGGCCTGCTCGCGACGGATCACCACAGGAACGGAACCGTTCATCATGAACGCTAAGTCCCGGTGACCCTGGCTTTCGAGATGGACCTCCATGTCGGCGTTGCTGGCGCACCAGAAGTCGCAAGGGGTGCACCTGTAGCTCCCTCGGATCTAGGTACGTGAGAAACAGTTCATGAACCATAATAATTCCATCATCGTGGGACTCACCTTATCAACGGTGTCAGCGTGAAATTGGGACCGCCAGTGTAGCAGAAAGGTGTCCTCGGTGTTGCAGTAGAACCGACATGGTGCACACTGAAAGGGACACTGTCTCACGACGTTCGCCATGTTCTCCAGCAGGAACCTCTTCGACTTTGGGCTGCAGGGGGTGGAACCGGCCACCCTGCAGTGGTAGTGCGACAAAAGATGCTTCCCCATCTGCTGGCGCCTGACTCGAGCGTGACACATCTCGCACCACACGATTTCCTTCTCCCTCTTGCGAGTTCTCTTGGAAGTCTCCTCTCTCGGCTCTGCTTTCGAAGTCTGGAAAATGCGCTTCATTACGTGATTCCACAGTAAATATGAATTAGTTATACGTATACGTGTCTTCTTTGGGACACTTACCGATGCCAAAGCCTTCTGATGTCGGCTAGACTTCCTTTGAAGGAAGCTGCCCAAGTCGCGTGGCAGATGAAGGGATCCATCTATCTCCTGGATGCTCCTCCTCGCATGCAAGTCGGAGAGCAAGTGTCTGTTGTATATCAATTTGGAGGCCAGTTTCCTCCCACAGGGTGCACACCAGTACCCTGTGCCAGCGTCGATTCTAGCACCAGGGACCCATTTCCCCCTCGTGTGTCCAGGTGGAGGCTGCCCAGGTAACTCTTGTGCCTCGTACTCTTCGGCTTTCTGAAGAAGACACAGAAATTTGGCATGGAATCAGCGATGCCATCGGAACCATTCATGTTCCACAGAGACCTACTTGAGTCTGAGCGTCAGTGGGCTTCCACTTCCCCCCGGTGTGCGACAGCGGTGGGTGCTCATGGTGGTCGTCATCGGCATCCCCATCGTCATCGCCCATTTGGGCCATGACCTCTTGAGTGATGTTGCCAAGACCCGGCTTCCATTTGCCACCGGTGTGTCCCCTAGGGGGATGCTCTTCATCGGTATCGGAGTACGAGTCATCTACTAGATCCTCGTCCAAACTCTCCTCGTCGGAGTCCTCCTCCTGATGATACTCGAACTCGGAGTACCGCCCCAGACTCGAATGGGCCATGTCTTTGTTCTCGGTAACCAAATCCGCCAGAATGGTGTCCTCTAGCCACACCTGTTCCTGCTCCATCCTCTGACTCTCCTCGTGGCGCTTTCTCTCCGGCTTGGTCATCAAGCTCTCCAGAGAAGCTTCCTGGAGGCCCTCGGACTTTCCGTGATAGCTCGTCGACTCCATCTTCATGGTGGCGTGCATTTGGCTTTTGGTGACCGTGGAGGAGCTGGGCTTCCCGGTCGACGTGACGATGTCTGGGAAGCCCACCAGAGATGGGATCACCAAATGATCCGTGGGGTCATCCAGATCCGTCACGACTGGCATCATGTTCGACAGCTTCTCCTTGCCCGACATATCCTCCTGATCTCCATGGACCTTCCTGCTCTTCTTCCGGGACTCCAGACGTCCCGATCTTTTCCCTCGCTCCGACAAAGCTCCTGACCTCCTGGCGTTGGTCTTGGTGCTGCTCTGCAGCTCCAGGGAGTTGAAGAAGGCGTCGGCGTTCAGGATCTCCGGATACGAGACCGTCGTTGGCGTCGATGGGGGGTCGTGGACCACTTCTGACTTGTCCTCCGGAGGCCGACATCCTGACTGTCGATGCCGAACGTAATTCTCGAGGCCGCTGATCGTCAGGTGGCACTTTATGCAGAAGTGGGTGTCGTCGTCGTCCTCGTAGCTCTCCATAATTCCTCAGGGTGGCCCCAGCTCTGGGTCTCTGGAAACTCGAAAAATCAGACCCGACGTCGACTCCCTCTCTTTCTCTTTCTCTTACTTCCTCGTTTCATCAGTGCTCTCCTGCTAGGTCGTTTTCGCGGAGGTACGGAAACCAGATCGCATGTGTGGCTGCCATTAAGGGCCGAGTACGATCGACCAATTGAAGTTTTCGAGCGCTTTACGAGGTCGTTATGTCGCAGGAGTTTTATTCGCGCCAGTGCTCGTGGCCTCGCTAATTACGAACAAACCGTTTTCGGGGATCCTTCGTGTACCGCCGCGTCGATCCTCATAAAAATACATTCGACGTAGCCGCCCGATAAACGGTCAACCTTCTTCACTGGAATCTTACTTTCGTCTCGGGTCTCCGTCTTCTCGATTCCGAAGAGCCTCGAGATCTCCATGAAAAAAGTTCAACAAATTGGACTGACAAAATAAACCACCCTTCGAGCAGGAAATTAAATGCACGAAGGGTTACTTCCCTGTTTAATCTGGATAACTACAAAGTACGAATTGATCTGACATTACGTCGAACTTATGTATGTGGTTAATTTCATAATTTCATATGGCGGTTATTGTAGCAACGATGGGATCGGTTTCATGTGTTTGTGAGTAATTCTTTATTTTAGATAAGTAAGTAGGAAACGCAGGGGAATTAATTTTCTACGTGCGTAATTGGGAGCTTTAATCAGAAAATCGTGTTAAGGGGGGTCCGTTCGAATGGAAAGAAGAAGATTCGGGGAAAATCCCGGAAAAATCGCGGGGAGGACCGAAGGCGCTTTCACACGGGGTGGCGCAGGGGTGGAAGGTTGCGAGACACGGCTCGAGAGGGCGGAAAGCCGAGGACAATCGCATTAGGACGTCGCGACGGGCTTGCACGTACGGGGTCGCGACTAATAGGCAAATTGAGCTTAATATTCGTCGAATGGAAGGGAAACAAGTTGACGCGCCATGCGAAGGCCGAGGGTGCAAGGGAAGATCGGTCGATGCCGCTCGGCCGTTATTCGGACGACGACACTTCACCCCGCTCGCCTCTCGCGCCCGCCAACCCCTAGCCTCCCTACCGTTTCCAAAGTCTGGAACCACCCCGACGTAACGTCGAAAAAGAGGGATACGGAGGGGTCCTTTTCCTCGCCCCGGGTTAGAATGAAATAAAACCTTGCAACTTGTCCATCCTAGCTTGGTTTTAAGTTAAGTTAATAAGGAGACTGAAGAATGTGGATTTTCCATTTTTTTTTTTTAACAGAGGATTTTATAATCAACGCATCAACGGCAAAGAGGGATGGGATTTACCTTGAGTTAGAATGAAAAAAAAAAATGTAAAATGTCCACATTGATTTTCTCTGGATTTCTCTGAACGCCCCGAAGAGACGAGTCCACGAGGGCATGTCAGGTACGGTTTAAAAGTGGCAAAGTGAACGGAAGGAAAAATGAGGATTTTCTTTAAGAGAGTGTTTTCTATCCCACGCATCATGCCTGGTTAATCGGGTTAAATTCAAAGTCCCCGGAGTAGGCCTCGAGGAGCAGAGTCGACGGATCGACGCGTGCGCTTTTCCGTTTCACCCCCTTTCAATCCCAAGTTTCCACGAGCGGGGCTCTTGCCCTCGGCGTACTCCGTGAATATAGCCGGGAAAAGTCGAGGGACAAGTTCGACGGAACTCGTCGAAAGCCGGACCGAGAAAAATTGCGGCAGAGAGTCTCGTCACCCGGTTATCGCTCCCTCGTTCCGGGTTTTTTTAGGTGTAGGTGGGATGAAAAAATCGGTGCGTCCAAGACAGAAAAAGAGGTTCGATCCATCGAGGCGAGAAAAAGCCCTTATAGGCGACGTACAGGGCGTTAATTGGCGGATTTGCGGATCCGCAGGGAGGTTGACGCATCGGCGTTGTTTCTGACGAGAGTCCTCCATGAGTCGGGGAAGGAGTCCGGGGGTTGACCGACGAGCCAGGTCGACTAATCCTTCACTGGGTATCGGACATACCGGAAAAGCCCGGCGCACCTGATGCCCCAGGGCAGGTGAGGCGAAAAATAATGGATTAATTGCCCGTGGCTCGCGGAAGCTGCGAGGCGGCCCGGAGAGCCGCCGGAGGTGGGAACTTGTTGAACGCGCGGACCAGGCAAATTTCACGAGTCGGTGGTCCGCGAGTTCCGTGACTTTTCACCACCAGAGAACCACCCGGATGATTCCTTCCCAACGTGTTCGTTCCCCGACCCCGTAAGTCAGGCCGCACCCCAAAGACAGCAAAAGCTTCGAGAAGCCCTCGACACCCCCCAGAAAGCGATCCCACCCCCTGCCAGACCCGATCTACATCTAACTCAACCTGCCCCTCATTTTTCAATCTTCCTCTCTAAAAATGATGCCTAACCGCATTAAACGTCCCTCGCACCCCTTTACATTTCCTTCCCTACATCACGAATTGCACGTAATTTCAGACTGCAATTCCGCACCGTTCCTTTTTAGGTCCTTTTCACTAAAGGAAAGGGACGTTGCAATCCACCCGATCCCGATAAAAAATCGCGAAGAAATCAATGAGCCACCCTCTATTCCTCGATTCCTCTCCATGCCCCTGGGACGAGCAGGTGGACCCCATGGCCCTGGAGGGGGACCTTCGCCAGGGCACGGTGACTCCATCGTTAGGCCTCGGAGGAGGTCCGGAGTCAAGTCAGGGTGGGCGTCGGGTCTCGACGTAGTCTCGGCGAAGTAGGAGAGTTCGGAGGTGACCAAAGGATGGCAGAAAGAGAAGGGGCAGTCGAGGGGCAGGCCAGGGGGGGTGCGGGCCGAGGGCGCCGTAAGGTCCGGGGAATATTGAGCCGCTCCGTTAATGTTTATAACGACGTTACAGGGTGTCCCGGTTGGCTCGCGTGTGGACGTTAGGTTTGGAGCGAGGAGGACAGGACCTGACATAAGCGCGGGGGTGTGTATGTAGAGCACGTACTCGCCGGCTCTCGGGTTCGAAGGAGGATGGTCGCCGGGGGTGGGTGGGCGGCGGGGGTGGTCTCGNGCCACCCCCCGCACCACCCCGGCCTCCTCCTCCGAGGCGGCTCTTCCTCTCGGAACCGAGCCGAGGCGGCCATGACACGTGTCAATCTACCGCAGACGCCCGATCGATACGGACGGACCTCCGCTCCAGCCCGACCTACCCGACCTACCCGACCCCTCCCGAGGCGACCGAGACGAACCCACTCCGACGTCCGAGTCTTAGCTTCGCGGTTTTGCCCTGGTTTTACCAAACTTCGGGAGGAAGGCCGCTCCGTGATCGTTTCCAGGTGGAGGAAGGGCGATTTGTCAGCGTTTCCAGGTGACCGGGGTGCTACGGACGGTACTTATCATTTTTTTTTTTTTTTATGGAAGGGTGAGTGAACCAGGAGTCCGATTCCTAGTTTCGCGGTTTTGCCCCGGTTTTTTGCGAAACTTTTTTGGTTTTTCTGAACACGAGGGGAAAGGCCGATCTGCGATGGTTTTTACGTGAGCAAAAATTTCGGGACGGCATATTTGATTTTTTTCAAGGTACAGAGTGGATGCGGTTTTTTTTTTTTTCATACAAAGATATCGACTCCCAAATTGCCGATTCGCAGTGATGATCGTTTCACGAAGTTCTCTGTGTACGAGAGGATACTCGACACACCGTGGAGGAGAATTCAGGACTCTCTTGAGGAGGCCTTCCTTTCGGCCCCCGATTTCTTCTTTTTTAAAGCCTGGTTAATTAATCACGGACAGCCGTGCCCTCGTGAATAAAATTATCGCGAGGGGGGAGAGGAAAAAAAGGACAGGCATCGTCTCGTAAAACTTTTATTGAACCTATTCGAATTCTAACGAGGACATTCGAGATCGTTTTCTAGGCGATCACCGCGAGACTTTACGTTCCGGCGAATTAGAACCCAGTAAATGGAGTGGCTGTCGGCGGAAAACGCTGCTTTAATGCCGGCACGATTGCCACTTAGAGTACCGGCGTAGGAGTTAGTAGAGAAAAGCAAAGAAACTTGAGAAATACGGGACCGAAGAAATCGGCGACATGCCGCTGATCCCCGGAGTCATGGCCATTAAGGCGGTGGGTACTCTTGGACGAGGATCTCGAATCGGAGGGTCGGTATTTGCGGATAGGAATAAATTGTCGGCACCTCCACGAGCTGTGGATGGATTTTGGCCTCGAGGTAAGGAGCCTCCTCGAGGATTTTTCACTCCTTCGCGCTTACGTTACGGCACGCTGTTTGACCAATCAAATAAACGTTTAGACGTTTTCGAGGGCGCTCCGCGGCACTAATAATAGACGTGTACCTCTGCCGGTAATAACCGGGCTGACAGGAAGCCGGAAAAATGTTAGGCATGTCGATATTTATTTGAGATTACCGCCCCGAGCCGAGTGTCATCCCTGTCGCATGCTCCGAGGAGTCGGGAGGGTCTTAACCCTTCCAAGGCCCGGTGTCCTAATAATAGGACAGATCGTTTCATTTCCCAGTTTTCTTGCTAAAGTCAAGGAGGACGCCACTGGGATCAAAATGATCCAGTTTCCAAGCAGGGGAACAGCTGTACCTTCTGGTAGTCTCGGTGACGTTAGGCATGGTTTCAAAAAAATTCAGAGTTGATGGTGCACCCTAATTCAAGCAGGGGAGCTTTTGTACTTTTCAGCTACCACGAGGATAGGTCATGGTTCCCTAAAAATCCAGGATGATGTCTCGAAAAATACACAAGTCGACGTTGGATCCATGGAAGGGAATTTCATCTCCATGCCCTCGGGTGGTGGTTCTTAAAAAATTCGGTATGGTGCCTCGAGAAATGCCCAACTCAACGTTGGACCCCATCCAGACGGTTTCCTCCACCGAGTACGTCGTTCGAAGCTGGTAGCTGCATCAGCGGGATTGCGTAGAGGCTCGGCAGCTTGTTTTTTCGGATTCCTAACACAGTGCCGTACGATATTAATTAAGAAACATATAAGTCAGAGGTAACGCATGCGCGGTCGGCAGAGCCCGAAGACCCT